TTATTTTATTTTATTTTATTTTATTTTATTTTATTTTATTTTATTTTATTTTATTTTATTTTATTATTTTATTTTATTTTATTTTATTTTATTTTATTTTATTTTATTTTATTTTATTTTATTTTATTATTTATTTATTTTATTTTATTTTATTTTATTTTATTATATTTTCAGTATTGCTGAATTCCCTCAGTCTCATACTTTCCTACATGTTATTCATTTCCCATTCCCTCTCCATTGATTTATACCCAATCTGCTTAAACCTGAGTCTTCATCCTTCCTAAGTCATTCTAACATTAATCTATATCAAATCTCCTGATACTTGAAGTTTTCTGTTTCCAGATATTGGCAACCTTCTGGGTCTGTATATTTTGGACTGTCTTTCTGACATGTTGACACTGCTTGATGGTTATACTTGCCACCACTTTGTAAAACATACAAATGTAAACATACATATGTTGTATATAGTAAATAATAATAATAATAATAATAATAATAATAATAATAATAATAATAATAATAATAATAATAATAATAATAATAATAGTAATAGTAATAGTAATAGTAATAGTAATAGTAATAGTAATAGTAATAGTAATAGTAATAGTAATAATGATAAAGTTGGAAGTGACCTTGGAGGTCATGTAGTCCAACCCCCTGCTCAGGCAGGAAACCCTATGCCATTTCAGACAAATGGAGCATTCACAGCTTCTGGTGGCAGGTTGTTCCACTGATTAATTGTTCTAACTGTCAGGAAGTTTCTCTTTAGTTCTAGGTTGCTTCTCTCTTTGGTTAGTTTCCATCCATTGCTTCTTGCCTTGCCTTCAAGTCTTTGCAGAATAGCTTGACTCCCTCTTCTATGTGGCAACCTCTGAGATATTGGAACATTGCTATCATGTCACCCCTCATCCTTCTCTTCATTAAACTAGACATACTCAATTCCAGCAACCGTTCCTTGTATGTTTTAGCCTCCAGTTCTCTTCATTAAACTAGTGTGGCCTTACCAAGGCATTGTAAACTGGTATTAACACTTCACGTGATCTTGATTCTATCCCTCTATTAAAGAAGCCTAGCACTGTGTTGGCTTTTTTGGCAGTTGCAACACACTGCTGGCTCATATTTAAGTGATTGTCCACTAGGACTCCAAGATCTCTCTCATAGTTACTACTATTGAGCAAGGTACCTCCTAAACTATACCTGTGCATTTGGTTTTTCTTGCCTAAATGTAGAACCTTACTTTTATCACCATTGAATTTCATTTTGTTAGATAGTGCCCAATGATGAAGTCTGTCAAGATCCTCCTGTATCTTTAGCCTGTCTTCTGGAGTGTTGGCTATTCCTGCCAGCTTAGTATCGTCTGCAAATTTGATGAGTTCCCCATCTATCCCCTCATTCAAATCATTGATGAAGATGTTGAAGAGCACTTGGCCCAGAACAGAGCCCTGGGGCACCCCACTTCTGACTTCCTTCCATGTGGATGCAGTTCCATTGAGGACTACACACTGAGTACGGCCAGTCCGCCAGCTATGAATCCATCTGGTGATGATGCTGTCTATCTTATCAAGTAGTAGGTTGTGATCTACTTTATCAAATGACTTATTGAAGTCTAAATAAATTATGTCCACAGCATTCCTCTAATTTTGTCACTTGGTCAAAGAATGTGATAAGATTTGTCTGGCATGATCTGTTTTTGACAAACCCATGTTGGCTTTTGGTAATGAGTTTGTTTGCCTCTAGGTGTTCGCTGATTCGTTGTTTGATTATCTTTCCTAGAATCTCCCCAGGTATTGAGGTCAGGCTGATAGGTCTGTAAGTTCCTGGATCCTTCCTTTTTTGAAGATGGGAACTACATCAGCTCTTTTCCAGTCCTCCAGTAGTTCCCCAGTGCTCCAGGATCTTTGAAAGATATAGTTCAGTGGTTCTGAGATCAGTTCTGTTAGAAGTAAGTCTTCATCCTGGTTCATCCAAGCCGGGAATAAATAAGCAAACATGGCAACTGCTTTGGGAAGAAGGTTACAGTTTATTGCAGAAGACAGATGGTCTTGCAAGAAGCAGCAGAGGAGAGGAAAGAGAGTGAGCACATGGGCAGGAGGTCTTTTTATACCCCCCCTCCCAGCCCTGCTTGGGATAGTTTCCTGTTCCTGTGGCATGAACTTTGAAGCTATTTCTGAGTGTTTTTCTAGGCCTTGATATCTGTGGTTTAATCCCATTATCATATCCTGCTTCCCAGGTGATGGGGCTAATGACTCTTAAGAGCTTCTTTTGTCTTGAGATCCCTGGCTCCAAACTTCCTGATGGTTCCACATCTGCATATGTATAAGACTAACTACTGCCCTGGGCAAAGAGATGAGGCCAGGTTNCAAAAAAAAAATGGATATAGATATGTACAATAATCCAGAAGATTTTGAAGGTTAAATTACAATTGAAAGCAGAAAGTTTTCATTTGGGACTAATAGAGAGGCAAGTAGAAAAAAAAGTGATGAAGCTTTCTTTTGTGGGAAGTCAGCCCCCAGAGAAGGAAATATTAAAAGGGCAGGAAATATATTTCCTCAAAGGATCTTAAAGAGGCAGGAAAGCATGCCCAGTTTTTTTAATAGCTCGAAGTCTCCCTTCCCCAAGCAGAAACCAGCTCTATAGAGATGCAGATGTAAATCCAGGGAGCTAGGAGATTAAGAAGACAGAGACCTAAAATCTACATACCCCATCCAAATTCTAAGAGTCATCAGCCCCAGCCCCAGGGAAGCAGGATATGACCTTTGGACATAATAGGATTAACCAATCACCATCAGAATACCAGAAAGGCACACTCAGATTCAGGTCAAAGTTCATGCCACGGGAACAACTCCAAACAAAAGGCTCCAGAGGGTATAAAAACGCACTCCCTACATGTGCTCTCTCTCTCTCTTCTTCCAGAGCCATCTTTCTGTCTGGCTCTCCTCTTCAATAAACTGCAACCTTCTTTCTAAAGCAGTCGCCATGTTGTTTATTCCCAGCTTGGACTGAACAACGATGAAGACTTTTCTTCCAACACTTTTTACATATGATAACTGCAGGGAAAATATTATATGCTCAAAAATGGAACGACTAAACACTATCCACAATGGAGGGATGGATGGTGAGGATGATGAAACCTGCAGAGAAACTTAAACTAACATCTTTGATTAGAAAATACTTGATAGACCTTTTGCATAAAACAGAAAAAAAAACATGCAGAAATGATTTGTCATTTAGTAGAAAAAACATGACTCCTTTTTGTAATCATTAATCATGAGTTAATATTTCAAATGTACTTCTATGTGCTGCAGAAGAAATACCAGCTATGAAATCTCTGCTCTGAGGAACACTTTTATCTCAGCCAATATGTAAATCAAGGCACAATTACCCCTTAAAGGCTGGTTTCCCTTTTCTTGTGACACCCACCAACACAAATTTTGTGCATTTTCCCAAATCCTCTCCTTTCAATTCCCATCCATTCATTACAGAGAGAGCAAAAATGATTCTGTGCCTAAACCTCTTATCCTTGCTTGAATTCCTCAGAGGTAAAGTTTCTTTTCTATTCACAGTTTCATTTCCTGCTCTTATATACAGGTGGTCTTATTGATAACACTTTTCTTTCTAGGTGTCCAATCAGATGTCTCATTGGTGGAGTCTGGAGGAGATGTGAGAAGACCTGGAGGGTCCCTCCGTCTCATCCGCCAAGCCTCTGGATTAAACTTCAGCAGCTATAACATGGCTTGGGTGAGACAGGCTACTGGGAAAGGCCTGGAATGGGTTGCAAGGATAGGTACATCTTCATCTTCAATTGGATACTCAGACAAAATCAAGGAACACTTCACCATCTCCAGGGATGATGTCCTCAGTCAGCTGTATCTTCAAATGAACAGCCTGAAATCAGAGGACACAGCTGTCTATTACTGTTGGGGAACCGGTGCACAGTGAGAAAAAGTGAATCTGAAGCTCATCAAGAACTTTCTCTACTTCTGAGCAACTTACACGTATTTACATTCCTTCCTTTTATTTTATATTTAATTTAATTTAATTTAATTTAATTTAATTTAATTTAATTTAATTTAATTTAATTTAATTTAATTTAATTTAATTTAATTTAATTTAATTATTTTATTTATTTTATTTTATTTTATTTTATTTTATTTTATTTTATTTTATTTTATTTTATTTTATTTTTTTTTTTTTTTTATTTTTTTTTATTTTTTT